TCTGTTTTTGGAGGGGAGGTGCTCCAGCCCCCTGGTCATCTTTGTGGCTCTGCTCTGGACCCTCTCCAACAGCTTTCTGTCCTTCTTGTACTGGGGGCTCCACACTTGGATGCACTATTCCAGACAGGGCCTCACAAGACCAGAGCAGAGAGAGAAAATCACCTCCCTGTCCCTGCTGGCCACCCCTCTTCTGATGGAGCCCAGGATACCATTTACTTTCCGAGCTGCAAGGGCACACTGCTGGCTCATGTCAAGCTTTTCATCCATGAGGACACCCAGGTCTTTCTCTGCAGGGCTGCTCTCAAGGACCAGTCTGTACAGATGCCTGGGATTCCTCTGGCCCAAGTGCAAAACCTTGTGCTTTGCTGTGTTGAACCTCACCCGATTCACCGGGGCCCACCTTTCAAGCCTGTTGAGGTCCCTCTGAATGGCATCCCTTCCTTCCACCATGTCAACCGCACCACTCAGCTTGGTGCTGCCAAACTTGCTGAGGGTGCACTCAATTCCAGCGTCGATGTCATTGATAAAGATGTTAAAGAGCACCGGTCCCAAGACAGACCCCTGGGGGACGCTGCTCATTACTGGCCTCCACCAGGACATAGAGCCATTGATGATCACTCTCTATCTGCAGCCTTTTAACAAATTTCTTATCCATTGAGTGGTCCACCCATCAAATCCATATCCCTCCAATTTGGAGATAAGGATGTGGTGGGGGACCACGTCAAAGGCCTTGCTCAAGTCCAGGCAAATGACATCAGTCGCCCTTTCCCTTGTCCACCAATGCCGCCACTCCATCAAACAACACTAAGGAATTAAAAAGTTAAATCAGACAGCATTCCATAACTCTGAAAAGTTCCCTTCCTTCTCCCTCTTTCTGAACAGTGAGAACACATTGCAATTGTTTCATGCTTTTCTTTGCTTTGTCAAAATTATGCTCAGCAGTTACATCCTTTGGTTTCACACAAGATGCAAAACCTCAACAGTGCACTAGAGAAAAAGCACATTTGAGACAAAAGTATTATTCTCACTGCCATGCAGAGAAAACAGAGGCAATGCTGTTGTACTGTATCACTGAAGCAATAAGAATCATTCGAGAGAGTTTTGCTGTCACCATACTTCCATTTCTTGGACACGGAGTCCATGAGATCTCTCCTCACTTTCTTAATCATTCTGACTGGGATATAAGTTTAAACCATGTCCATTTCAAGATAACAGCTCAAGATAAACCACAATCACTCTCCTCCCATCCTCTTAGAATAGGAAACAGGCCCCCATACTTTAATGCAAAAAAAAAAAAAAAAAAAAAAAAAAAAAAAAAAAAAAAAAAAAAAACCACCAAAAAAACACTGCCAGTATGGAGAAGAGAAGAACTCCTTCAGGCCATAGACACTCAAACTCCTCCTCCTCACCAGAGAGAAGAGCCCAAGCGGAGAAGCCCAGCACAGAAGAGGGAGGGATGAAAAACTGAAATCCTCAGCATGTAATACAGAGAACAACTAACTTGAACCTAGACATACTGCAGAGAACATCCTGAAACTACAGCAGCACTAGCATCAACTATTACATTATTTTTGGGTACTAAAAATGCCAGCAACTGTACCACTACTACACACAATAACTGTACAAATTTACAGCCCACTTGTGCTAGATAAAAAACTAATTCACGTGACTATCAAGATGAAGACTTAAGGATTTCAATTGTGACCAATGCACACTTAAACAGAAACTCTTATCAACATTATCACATTGTATTTCTAACTTCAAAATTTGGAGTTACATATAAATGTAGGAAACTATACTGAAGCAACACACAATCCTATTATTAGGCAGATCAGACAGTTTTTACAGCACCCCTCTAAAGCTAACATCAACCAACGTGAGTCTTAACAGGTGCAGTAAGCAAAACCCATTAATGAGAGATAAAGTCCTCTCAGAAGAAGGTATCTGTCATAGAAGTCATGTTTTGGACTTCTAAGTTCAATATCAACTTTGTCTGTTCTAGCTTAAAGACAGACATTGTCTTCAGTATAATGAAGACTTCTGTTACATTTACACAGAGCTCCAGTTATAAGAACAATTCTCATCCAAGGTGTTTCAGCCCTACACCAACACAGAGTTTTGAGAACCATTCAATGTGCTCTGAATGCAAATTTCAATGAAAAGAAGTACACCTGTCACCACTATCTGCAGCCTGTTAATCAAATGCATGCTCTGATCACCACAATGGAAGCCTTAAATATTTTAGCTTATGTACTTCCCCATCAACGCAGGGAAAATCCCTTCAAAGCTAACTGGAAACAAGTTTGAATAAAAAATAAACAAGGCAGGCTTGTGTCTTTTATTCCCAGATATACTACTGTGTTTTTGAAGGCCAAGCTAGAAGCCCCCAGTGAATTCTTGCACTGAAGCATGCTTGTGCCAGCCAACTCTGAATATAAGACAGAACATCACACATTTGGTAAAGTAAAACCACATGACTAACATTAGCGTCACAGATGCCACTTTAAAAAGTTTAACAAGACATTGGATTTATTACTCAATTTTTATCTCTCCACAGCATTCAGCAAAGAAATTGGAATACTGGAAGGGTATGCAAATGTAAATTGCCCTCAAATTTTTTCTAAAGGAAACACGGATTAGAAATTCTCTCAATCCCTCCTGGCTTTTCTTTTATCCTCTATCTATTCAGAATGAAAAATGTATGCTTGCAGAACTCAAACACATTAAATGCCACGTAATAAACAATTCATCACTCTGTCATTCCGATCAATTCTTTCATGTACTATTACAGCTACTGTTCCACACTCCAGCAAAAAGCTATTATCACCGTGTTTATACAAAATAAGTCTTATCAGTTTATCGTATTTAAAATTGTTTAAAGTTTATTCAGAAGTTCAGAATAAGCTTCAACAAATAGGAACGCATACTACCAGCAAGGAAACTCCCACAGAGGACTTATTTCTCAAGTAGACTGTATGGGAACTTTGAGATTTCTCTTACAAAGTCAGACAAAATATTCAGTTATTTTACAGTTCAAAAATCTCTTTCCCACACCTTTTCTGGAAATACCTTTTACTACTTTAAATGACAGTGGTAACTACCCATTTAGGAGAGATAAATCATACACTTTAATATTTCATGAACCTAAAACACAAATCAGGGCCGGATGTGCTATTTGCTAGAACCAGATTACTCAATCAATCAATAATAAATCACAGGAAGGTGCAGGCATTTAGTTGATGTTTCACTGAAAGACGTTTAGCCAGATGCATACGCAGCAATTCAAAGCAGATTTATAGAGTCTTTCTCCAGGTTGCCTGAAGATGAGCGAGGTGTTACCAAAAATCTGAAAGCTAAATAAAGATGCTGCATCCCTGATTCCTCAGAATTCACCTGTGTAGCATTGCAAAGAAACAGGAATGCTACTTATACAACTGTACAGTTTATTGTTTAGAGGAGGGACACAACATCCACATACAAACCCTTTCCCACCACCACTATCTTCAGTGATCCACCCTGTTCTGTTACAGTGCTCTTAGCAGCACTGTGCTCCTACAACCCAACGTTTTATCTGTTAGATCAAGTTACATCACAACACATCCAGAATAATTAAATCTCAGGTACCAGCTAAGGAAGCTTCACAATTCACAGGTTTTGAACCTTGGATCCCTTCAAAATTCTCATATCACAACACCAAAAGTCATCGGAGCTGCACCAACATCTGGATGGCTGTGAATGAGCCATCCTCTAAAGGCACACGCAGTCCTGCCAAGCAGAAGCACTTCACCTTCTTTCTAAAGGTACCCAGCTCTGAGGAAGCAGTGTGTGAACTGCAGCGGTTAGCATAAAACCACTTGTGAAAGGAGCAAGCCAAAAATCATCTTCAAAACACGTTTCATCACAGTTTTGTTTCTCGGCTACATAAGCTCCTCATGAACAACTGACAAGAGCTTTCAGCTTATGACAGCAAGCAAGGCCCTCTAAGCTTCCTATTTTTAAAAGTTGTTTGTGGCAGGGGAAAGGTGGTAATACCACGTGAAATGACAGAGCAGAGTGCTGAAACTTCAGCTGACAACAAAGTAACCTGCTAAGTCCAAGACAAGCATTTTAGTATAATCCTCAGGAAAGATTAATTCCAGAATATTTTTAGCCTGAGCTCTGAAAGCGGGCAGCAGCAGATAGAGACTGAAAAGCACACTGGTGGGGGGCGGGAGGGAGAATACATGCGGATAAACTCTTTGTTTATAATCAAAACACAGGGAACGCCGCTCTTGTAGAATTCATCCTCAGGAAGAAAGAGCTGCAGGCACCCAGAGCAGTGCCACGCTAAGGCTCCCACAGCAATCTCAGCTGCTCAGTCAGACACACACAGACAATTGGGAAGCAGCAACACTGCTACATCTCTCACGCAAGCCAAGCACAACCATAGGAGGCGTGTGGAACACAACGAATAAACAAAAAAGAATTTTGAAACGGGGCAGTCACGAAAATACAGAGCGGGGAGCTCAGCTCCCGCCAGCGCCATCTGATTTGGGGGATGCTCTGCGTTTTCTTGGTGTGGTAACGCACAGAGCTGTCATCTCCGTGCAGTCTACAGGAACGTGGCCGAAAACAGGCAGACGGGGAATGCCGGCGACCTCCGAGGTTTGACACGAGCACGCAGTAACAGTTGCATAAGGACACCGGAGAAGCCAAGTTCTCCCCCAGCCTCACGCACCGCCCGAGAGCGGAGGAAAGGCAGAGATCCGCGCGAGCACGGGGTGCCAGGGGCACCGCCAGCAGCACGCCGCTCATTGTGCGCCACGGCTCGGGGAGAGCCAACACCTGGTACGGCCACCCGAGCGATAGGTGGATCCACGGCGATCCTTCCCCAGTAGGCAACCAACGATGGGTGTGCCGGGGATGGGGAGGAGAACAGGAGGGCTGGGCAGCGCCAGGCTGCGCGGCGGCCGGGCGGGGATCATGGTGGCTGAGGAAGCACCGGAGCTGCTCCCCCCTCCCCCCTCTCAACCCCCTATCCCCAAGCTCAGGGCGGCGGGCAGCGCGCCGGGACCGCCCGCACCGCGACTCAGGTGGGTGCCGAGCACAGCATCCCCGCGTTGGGGTTGGGGGGCTCTGCTCTCCCCCCCTTCCCTTCTCCTTTTCTTCCCCCCTCCCCCTCCCCGCGGGACTCACTTGCCGATCACCTCGCACAGCTCGTACACGTCCTCGAACAGCACGTCGTCGTCGGCCATGGTCCGCCCGTCAGGCGGCGGCCCCGGTTGCGGGGGGAGGAGGAGGAGGAGGAGGAGAAGGAAGCGGGGGGGCCGCGGGCACGCTCCCCGCCGTGCGGCGCGCTCCCCCGCCGCTCAGCGCCAACAGCCGCAACCGACGGCCGCAACCGACGACCGCTACCACCGCCGGGGCTCTCCGCTTCTCGGGCCGCCGCGCGTGTCACGCACCCCGCGACCCCACCTTCCTCCCCCCACCCCCCTCCCTCCCCCGGTTACTCCCCGGCGGCAGCGGCGAGCTGGCGGGCGGCTCCGGCTCAGCGGGGCGGCGCGAGCTCCATGGAGGGGATAGGCGGCGGCGGCGGGCGGCAGCGCCGGCTCGATCCCTCCCTCGCCGAGCGGGCGCGCTCCCGAGGCACCGGGAAGGGGGGGGCGGGGGGAGAGGGGGTTGGCTAGGGGAGCGCGCACCGTGCGGGAGGATAATAGTAGGAGGGGGAGGGGCGGGGAGGTGCCGGCGCGGTCGTCGGTTCCGCTCCCAGCCGCGAGGAGGAGAGGCGGCGGCGGCCGCGATAGGCGCTGGCCGCACGGGAGGGCGGGGGCGCGCGCGCGCGCTCCCCACCGCCGTCACGCAAAGGCCGCGGCGGGGGCGGGCGCCCCGGGTGCGAGCGCGCGGCCGAGCAGGCGCGGCACGCACACAGGCACGCACGCGGGGGGCCCGCGTTGGTTTCCGCTCCCTTTCTCCCCGCCCGCGCCGCTCGCGGGGCCACGCCCCCTCCCCCGCCGAGGGGTCGGGGAGGGTCGGTCGGCGCGTTGTGCGCAGGCGCGGCGTGCGATGACGTCATGGCGCGGGGAGGGGGCTCCGCGGGGTGGCTGCGAGCGCCCGCGGTGGGGCGGGCTGAGCCGGGCGCAGGTGTTGGGAGCGCCGCGCGGCTCCTCCGGGCGGTGCGTGGGCAGACGCGGGAGGGGAGGTTTTCTCAGTCAGCTGCACGCTGCTGTCTGGTGCCTGCAGCCCTACCTGCGGCGACGGTCTCTGTGCCCAAGCTCCGCAGCTTTGTCTGGGAGCGGGTAGAGTGAATTTTCTCCTAGCAGGATGTTGGCTTTGAGAGGCTGTTGTATCTGGAGCGGTGTTTGAAACAGCTTTGTTGCTGGTGAAACAGCACTCCCACAGCCAATTAAAGGAGCCTTCTGAGAGTGCTCTGATGCGCATCCAGTTGGGCAGGTGACGGGTCGTTTCCTCGTAAAACCACTCAAAGGAATGTCTGAGACATCCCTTGAATGTCAAAACATCGAGTGCTTAACCTGCCAGGTTCCGTTCTGTGCTTTTTACATTACACACACACACACAAAACTACCCGCAGAAGATAGCTGCGAGTCCCACGGCTGTGCTTTTTGAGCTTTGAGTTAGAAGCCTTGTGGAAGAGTGTTGTGTCCTGTAGGAATTAGCTGGGAACTGCTGCAGTTTCCAAAGTATGCAGGTTTCTGCAAAGGTCATGTCTCATTTATTTGCATGGAAACTACTACAGATACCAAGAACACAATGGCACTACTTAATAGAGCAAATTCTCAGCTACAAAACACTGTTTTTCAACACCACTAGCTATGCATTTTCAACAGACATGGACATGAGCCTGCATGCCACGCTTGTAACAATCTGCAGAGGTGCCTCTGTTGCTGTCAGCACTGCTGAAACGCACCACCCACCACCTCACTGTGCTCACATCTACTGCTTGGTCTCCATCAACATTCAGCATCAATGAATGTCAGTAGGTGCCATTTTCTCCGCAGGAGGAATTCAGTGACACACCTTTGCTTCGTATGCTCTTCCGCATCAGATGCCACTGTGTCAGGACTGCCCCTCTGCTGCTATCTGTCGTATGGCAACAACATGGAACGGAATGTCGGCGGGAAGGTTTGACATCTCCTGCCATACCACAGCATCTGCCTCTGACGCTGTGGGCCAGTGTAATAAAATAGGAGGCATTACTTTCAGAGCATCCCTCATTTCTGCTGTAGTAGTTTCACACACACACAACTTCTTAAAACTCGTCAACACAAAGGTAAGTTACAGTTGTTCCTTAAACACAGAAAAAAAAAAAAAAGAAGAGCCTGTCGAAGCAGAATTGTCTGATGGACACTTTGTCAAGAATGTCCTGTTCCTATCTCCATACAAATTGAAAAGGAAAAAATGAAGAAAACTGTCAAAAATAATTAAGCCTATAATCTGCGCAGTGGTAACGTGTAAGGTGAGAGATGTTCCCATGAGGTTATGCTCTGTGCCATACAAGCGTTTAAAAACATTAAAACAGCATCACTTTGGAATGCAGATAAAAAGCCAACACGGTTAGATCGTCTGTTCCATGGGTGCGCTCAGCGCAGAGCAGAGGAACTGAGGGCAGGCCTGATGGCGGCTGCAGCTCCTCACAGGGAGCGGAGGGGCAGCGCTGAGCTCTGCTCTGTGTGACAGCGACAGGGCCCGAGGGAACGGCATGGAGCTGCGTCAGGGGAGGGCAGCTGGGGGTCAGGGAAAGGGGCTGCACCACAGGGTCTCAGCATGGAATGGGCTGCACAGGGCTGTGGGCATGGCCACCTGTTCCGGAGTTCTGGGAGCAGTGCTCTTAGACATAGGGTTTGATTTTCAGTGGTCCTATATGGAGCTGGTAGTTGGACTTGATGATTCTTGTGGCTTCCTTCCAGCTCAGGATATTCTATGGTTCTGCAGTTCTATAAATTTCACGCAGGGTAACCTGAGCAGACATTTTTTTTCCTTTTGTGAGATGAGCAGGCTGAGTACCACTCAGGCCTCTCAGTAATAAGTTTCCGAATGTGGGTGAGTATTCACCTATGTATGGAAAATTAATTGTCATCTGATAACACGCAGATTCATCATTAGAAGCTAGCGGGAAAAACTGATACAAAGACACACAAGGAAGAAAAATGACTGTACCAGATACATTCCATCACTGAGGCAAATGCTTTCCCCACTCTAGCAGTGTCGCTTCACAGTGTCTCACCTCCCTTTGAATGCCAGGTGCTGGACATCACATCTGGATGTGACAGATGAAGCCAAAACCAAGGAATACAGAGCACGGGCAGCTTTGCACTGAAATATTCTTATGGAACAAACACTTTGAGAAATTCGGAAGGCAGTTGTCTGTGTTTTGGGGGGGACCTGCATGTAAACAATTTTTCTGTTAACAGTCTCAGTGAACAGGGAGAAGAAAGTGAGTTTAAGCTGCCATCAGGAGAAGGCAGTTTCTTAGAAGTCAACGAACAAAGAATTAACTTTCTTTAGGAGAAGTGCTTCATTCTCTAGCATTAAGCCTGCTTACAGGGTTCTCCTACCTTCCAGGATGGAGCATAGTAGTTTCTTTTTTTATCTGATGGGCCTAACTTCCAATTTCTTTCTTTCTTTCTTTCTTTCTTTCTTTCTTTCTTTCTTTCTTT